CCTCATCAGATCCTCCTTGTGAAGGCTGTGATGGATCCTGATGTGATGGATTCTGATGTGATAGATCTTGATGGGCATATCGAGTATGAGGCTTAGGAGAGCTTGTAGCAGATCCATAACGAAGAGGATTTTTTTGTCTAAGCTGATCTATTTCTTCCAATTCTTTATCAATTTTAATCTTTTCCTTTTCTGCCTCTTGTTCATCAAAGCCTGACTCCGTTTCATAGTATTCTGGTTGTGCTGGTTGTGCTGGTTTCTTGAAGAGTGCTGCCATTTCTTCAGCTGTAAATTGTGGCTTCTCATTTAGATGATCAGAAACACGACCAGGACGATCCATTTCACCTCGTCCTACAAGTTCCTCTCCCTTGGCACCAGGGCCACTGCTTGCTTGAGCTGACATCTGATAATAATTACCACCTGGTACATCATTACGACGTGATGAGATATGAGCCTGATTAGAAGCAGTGGAGGCATCGTGGCCTTTCAATTTATCCTTTAGTACCTACAGAAAATGCACAACACAGTTCTCTCTGAAATGTTAACTTAAATTTAACTACATACTTCATTAGCTTTCTTCAGTTTTTCATTTAGATCCTCTAGTCTAGTAATTTTTGCTCGTTCCTCATGATATGCTGTCAGCAATTGTTCATTATTAGCTGATATATTAGTTAACTGCTGTCTCAACCCAGCCAGCTCATTATCCTACAGTAAATGAGTTCATCAAGTGCACATGCACACGCACACACACACACACAGTATTTGAAATATTACCAGTTGTTGATTAGTTATAGATACATTATCTAACTGTTGTCTCATCCTAGCCAGCTCACTAGCCTACAGTTAGAAAAGTTACAAAACAAAACATAGTTACAGACTACAGTTACTATAGTTACAAATATACACATACATGTAGGTGCTATTATATTACCAATTCTTGCTTAGACTTTATTTCTTCATTAAGCTTCTGATTCAACTCACGAACCTACATGTATATTAATACATGTATAAGTACATGATACAGACAGGATAATAATGTAAATATGAAATGTAATAAACAATGCTCCTTGTTATTGTACACAGGATATTTCGTCAAAAATGGCTATAAGTTCTATAATTTTTTGATACATACGTGTGTAATACATGTTTTTATGTTGTATACTAAGTTTGAACTGATTCTGATCAAAATAATTTTCATCTGGTCCAAATTACAGTGACTCACACATGTGGTAATATGTAAAGTGTATGTACATACTTCAGTTTTATGTTTCTCTTGACTCTGAGTTAAGAGACTTTTTTGTTTGTCCACCTCCCGACTGTAAGCATTGACTTGAGCTGTAAGTATTTGAATTTCTTCATCTTGATTCTGATCATTTTTACGACTGTAAGCACTAAGTTGTGTTTTCAGAACTCGTATCTCTTCATCTTGAGCTTTTACTACCTGTCATGTACATATAACTGAACTGTTACACCCATAATGTGATATTAATACCTCCCCTAGGTTGGCTACTGCTTCTTTATCAATTTTATTTTGTTTCCTTGCTTGTTCAGTTTTGGTTTTCAGTTCCTCATATTCAGCATGTATTCTTTGCCTGTCAGTCCTTTCTGATTCAAAGTCTTGTTTGTAAACTGCATTCTAATTAACAATGATAATTAATATTAATAAATTATTAACAATGACAAACCTCTGCTTCCTTTGCTTGCATGTTCTCCACTAATTCTTTTATTTGTAGTTTTTGTTTGTTGAATTTCTTTACAGCCTCATCAAGCTGTTCCCTTAGTTGTCTTACGGTTTGTTCCTTCTCTTTTGAAGCTAATTGAGCTGTTGTGGTTAACCTCACTATCTCTTGCTCCTTTTCTTCCAACGAGTCATTCAAGTCTTCATTTTCTTGCAATTTATTACTCAGTTCAACACTTAATTCTTCAACAGTTTTTTTTGAGCTAGCCATTTCCTAAAAGCAAAATCATAACAAGCTAACATAATAATTACTTCTTCAAGGTGCTTTAGCGTATCCTTCAATTTTTCTGATTCTTTGTTTAGTGCCTTTATTAGTATAGTAGTTATAATGATGACACACAAGTTAGATTAATTACTTTGCAATATTCAAGGTCCCCTGTTAAATTTTGAATAGTTTTATCTCTATCCTAATAAATTATAATAGTAACCATTTCACAAAACATTAGTGAAAATTATATTACACATCCAATTCATTTTAAATTAAGTGTTTGATACACAGGATTTTTTCTGGGTTAAAAATTGGTAAAATCATAGAATGATATTGGATTTTGATCAAAATTGGGGAGTAGTTTTGGTGTGAGGAATTTCAGCATACACAACTCACTTTTAATTGGACTTCAGCTACTCTCAAATCATTTTGAAGTGTTTCTTGGGCTTTCACTTGTATCCTTTTGTCACCTTCGACTTTAGCGATTTGATCCTCAAGCTCTCTCACTCTGGTTTCAAGCTCTTTTTTCATCTTATCTTCTTCTGATAGACTATTATTAGCAGAAGCACCATCACCAGCTTCAACCTACACGTGTTATATTATACAATCTATTTTAGAGGGTTTAGCCTCACCTTCTCTTGTAAAATAGCTAGTTCACCTCGTAAATTATTCTCATCATCTTCTTTTTGTTTCAATTTTTTGCTCAATTCTTCAAGCTCATTTTGAAGTCGCTTCTCTCTAGCTTCATATTGTGCTTTCAGTTGAATTTCGCTCCCTTCTATACGAGCTCCAAAGGCTGCTACTTGAGGCTTTCGTTCATTACGCATATGTTGATCAACTGCTTCTCTGACTCTCTCGCTCACTTTTTTTTCAAAATCTTCCTCTAACTTAATATAAGCAATACTTTTTTCCTCCAACTGAGCTTTAAGATTTTTCTCCAACGTTTCAATTTCCTGTGTTCTCATTTTGACTTGATTCTTTAATTCTTCCATTTCTTTCAACGCTGCTTCATCCTTTTTTTTCTTCTCTGCTGTCCCCTCAAGAAGCTGCTCCACTTTTTTATCCATTTCTTTTTTGTATTGCTTTTCTTGGGCCTCATATTTTTCATGATAGTGCATCTCCAGCTGGTTCTTCTTAGCTATTTCTGTGTTTAGCTGTTGTTTAATTCCCTCCAGCTCTTTGGTATACTTCTCTTCCAACTCAGCCGTATGTTCCACTGCTTTCCTCTTTTCTTCCTCTTCCTTCTCCAGTAATTGCGTCAATTCGGTAATTCTATCTTCATCTTTATTAAGCTTCTCCTGTAGTGCAACCTTCTCCTTCATTAGCTTCTCCTTCTCGTTTGTAAGTGCCTCCTTAGCCACCTCTTTTTCTTTTATCAGCTTCTCCTTTTCTAAGTTTTCTTTCTTAAGCTCCTCCTTTTCTTCATTAAGCTCCTTTTCTCTCGTTAGCTTCTCTTTCAGTTGATTTTTTTCCTCAGCCACTGTAATCTCAGTTTCCTTCTTTAGCCGCTTCTTTTCTTGCTCCATCTCTTCATTTTTTGCAAGTAGTTTCTTTTTCCACTCTTCATTCTCTGCAGTCAGTTTTTGTTCCAGCCCATCCTTTTCTTTTGTTAGCTTCTCCTTACCCTTTAATAGCTCCTCCTTCTCTTTTGTTAGTTCCTCCTTCTCTTTTGTTAGTTCCTCATTCTCTTTCGTTAGTTCCTCCTTCTCTTTTGTTAGTTCCTTCTTATCTTTCGTTAGTTCCTCCTTCTCTTTCACTAGCTCCTCCTTCTCCTTCTCCAGTTGTACAGTATGTGTTAGTGTAGCTGATTGGTCTACTACTACATGTACACCCCTTCCTCTTCCTCCTCCTCCTCCTCTACTTCTACTCATTTGTGTTTTGAGTAGAATAATTTCCTCTGCATAATCTTTTATTTGTTTCTCCTTGTCTTTAAGCTCTCTCTTGTGTCTTTCATTCTCTAATTCAATCCTTGCTAGTTGGAGACTCAGTTCAGGATCATCACTGGATTGCTGTGGTACCACTGCC